TGTGGAGTTGGCCAGGAGTCAGTAAAACAGAGAACATTCCAAAAAAGAAGTCTATTATAAGTGTATAAATGGATAAAGAACTTGCATGTTAAGTGAGTTTTACTGGAGCAAGACTCTATTGGAAGCGCCTAAGAACAAGATTCTGTGGATATTCAGGTCTTGTGGCCGAGTACACAGTCGAATAGGCAATCAGTTGCACTATGGTAATAATAGGTAAATCCAGTATAGAAGAAGTGTCAAAGGATTTGCAAATGCCATTTGATGACCAAATGGGTTAGAAAGAATGCCTTCAATAGATGCTACCCAAGGGATGTGAAGATATGATTATAGACATACAGGAAAAATGAGCAAAATTCAGTCAATATATAAAATTCCGCAAATTTGCATAGCCAATCAGTCCTGTATGGCTAAGCAATTTATATTATAATATCAAAAGTTATTTTTTCGCCATATTCATATTCAGGTTTTAAAAACAGAATGAAATAAGTTGCTTACACTACCAAATGAAAGAAGCACGCTCAAAAAATGAAGCCCTTTGGAGCAGTTTGTTTCGTCCCTGTTTGCATTAGTGCTAAATACCTGGAATCAATTCTTACCTATTACCAGAATTCTAGGAGCATAGTTCCGTCAAATATGGTACATTCGAGTATCCTCCGCTCAGGTATATTCTCGGATATTTCTCGAGCATCGTAGTCGGCGTAATCAAGATGAGAGTTATAAAAAGTAGAGAAGCTAAATGTCCACAAGAAGAGCCGTCTTGTAGTATTTATCATGTGATGTATACGGTAGATGAGGATACGTAACCAAAGCTCAAAGTGTAAAGAAAATGTCAATGCAGTAATAGTGGAAGTGGTATTAGATATACTTCCAAAGGATTCTTTATCACCTTAAACGAAATATTATATATGTAACGAGGACATATCAGATCGAAGCAATTTAATGGAGCTTCATACTTTATCCATGGTAATAATGCTTTATCAAACAAAGAATCGCTAAGGAGTATAATTATTCTCATAGTCTAGCTATCACTGCCGAGTAAAACGAAATAGTGGATGACTAGTAGTTCCCAGTTTGAAAACTAGCTCATAATTGTTGTAGTTGTCGAAGTTTTTAAATGTCACAACGGAAGTTGTACTTATATAAAATAATAAATGCATATGATACAATTACTTTTTGGGAAGTAGCTAAAGTTAATTTAATTCATATAGTATAAGAATATTTTGCAATATATATATATATATATATATGTTTAGGTGACGTATGTGATGCATACGATGCTTTGAAAAGGAAATAGAATCAAGCATAACAATGGAAAAGAATCAAGCAATAAGCCAGAAATAAAGAGATTATTAAGATTTCGATGAAAGTTGATTAGGATAAAATGGAATGAAAAAAATACCTTTAATTTACTACGCTCTATAGGGTCGGCAGGCTTTCGTTCCGAATTAGATGATTCCTGGATAGTTAGCTTGCCCGACAAATTGGTCCGCCTTGCCTCCTCGGTAGAATTGTGATGATTCTCAGAAGCAGGAAATAGTCGGTTCTCAACATTAGAAGAGTCCGCTGAGCCAGACGAGGCAGAGGATGAAAAGGAATTAACCGGGCTAGTGGTGGGCTGCAGCTTCTCAAGAGCAACAGTCATATGAGGGAGCCGAGTCACGATAGGTTCATTCTCATTGGGATTAAGCGAATTACTGGCATGAGAATTCAGCCTAGCCCCTTCGGGATGGGTGCACAAAAAGCTTGAGTGAACCGTAGAGGACTTGGTAATTTGAGGCTTGAGCTTTGACAGAGAGCCATGTATGAGACTGGTACCCCTAGCAGTCAAAGTCTGATTCGTCCCGCGACAATCAGGTAATCGTGATAAGTTTAACGATGCAAGTGAGCGGCTAGGAATAATTTCCATCACAAGGGGGTGTGATGCTGCTAGCCAGGTCTCTGTGAGTTGTGTTACGTCCCGCGGCTCTGGAACATAACCGGCAGGTGCTGAATTCTTGGCAGAAGAAGCAGAGGTATCACAAGTAATGGCGGTGGGGCGGTTGCGAATCGGTTCATGCTTACCAACTGCGGAGCTGGCAACTACCTCAAAAGTTGTCATCTCATCGCTTTTCTCATGATGAACCGAGGCCTCGCTCTGTTCCCTGGAGGCTAAATGTTGCTGTTCAGCTGCCTGGCGTTGGATTGCATCAGTGAATATGGCCAGCTGACACATCTGAGTCTCAACTGGATAGCTTGTGCGTAGGTGCTGAGGCTGGAGCAAATTACGACGTTGCAGCTCAGTCAAGCGCTCGTAAGATTCCTCTGTAAAAAATGATATATATCAAACAAAATGTATGAAAAATTGAGATACAATAAGGGAAATGATCATATATATATAGAGGGATAAAATTATAAATAATATTCGCCAACATAAGATGAACAAAATGGTTTAATTTCTATATAGCAAGAATAACTGAGAAAAGTTGACCATTACAAGGCAAAGTGTGCATGGTCTTCCGTAAAATTCACACCTGCCCTGTGACCTAGGGGCACTCTTGGCAATATGGTGCAGTGGTTAACGTGTCGAGATTACACGCTGGACTGTCATGGCTCGAGCCCCGCTGAGAGAGTTGATAAGACCTAGGTGAGGTCGAAACTGTAGTCCACTCTGGATGAGAACACCTTTTGGGAAAGCAATGCTATGTGAAATTTAATCTACTCATATCATTATGAGAAGATTCAACTACCAGTTCCTCATCATCGTAAACAAAGTAGGGGAAATACACATTATATAAATAACTACACACAAAAACAAGTAAAAAGAAGAATCTTTACATAATAAAACCAGGCCCTGAATTGAGGCAGAGCCCGTTTTCACTTGAAATGAGGGAGGATGTATCGTGGACTACACCAGCCTGAAGATCGCATTAAAGCAGTACAAAGGGAATCAGCCATTGTCTTCTGATGAGATCAACCTACGAATCTATTCTTCATGCACTTTTATGCGAAATAAAAGTATCTTCAACAGAAATGACAGTATTTGCGAAGAACTAGGATAGGATGCGATAAGCCAATCTGTAGTCATGGCAGATTATTCCGAAGAAGTGCCAAGACTAAACAAAGATAATAGATTCAGAATATTCACAG